GGGGACTACTATAAGGGATATTAAGGGGGATACTAGGAGTTTAGACAGTGGCTCATATCATCCAGAGGTCCCCCCTATTTCTAGGCTCCATCAGAAAAATCAACCTGGACCTCCAAAGTAGAACAGTGGCCTTGTTTACTATTTTCAGGGTTGCTTGCCCCGATTATCTACATCCTGAATCTTGAAGCCTGAACCCCAAGCGCTAAGCCCTAAGTCTTAACTTGTTCAAGCATTGACTTGGGGAGTTCCCAACCCTAAACCCTAAACCCTAAATTAGGGTCCCATTTTGGTACCCCTAAATATCAGGTGCCGTAATAGAGTCTATACCCAAAAGCGGCGCATGATTTTGAGAACAACCCACTTCAGGATGGCCACAACTGCCTTCAAGCCTGAGCCGAGCAGTTGGAAAAGATAAGCCGGGAGAAGTATTGAGAACAATAAAGATGTTAGGAATAAGACTAGTACCCGAACCCTGAAAGTATGTAGAATAACGGTCTCTTGGGCTACTGTTTAAAGGTTTTGGGCTATTCTTTTACCTACTTTTGGGGTCCAGGTATTCAGAACAACAGTAACAAAGATCACACAAAAAAAATAAAAGCAGCGATAATGATAACAATTAGGTTTGGCAACACTTGCGCGAGATCGCTGCCGGCGACCTTCAATCGGGGAAGAAGCAATCAGGCACTGAGGATGTTTTGCTCAGGTAGCAGGGACACTTCGTAAAAGATAGCCCTGGTTGTCCTTCCACAAGTTCTAAGCATTCCTAAGATCTTATACAAACTGCTTATGTCCTTTCATCTGTTCGTAGCACCTGTCTTGATGTAGGTTTCGCTGGTTTCGCGGCTTGCGTAGGGCCCGTCACATGAGTTCGGTCAAGGTTTTTCAGTTTAGGCTTTGAGTGTTCGCTGATTTTCTGGCTGCGTTTGCGTGGGTGCTGACTTCACAGCAATGGCAAAAACCTCACAAGAAAGAGTACACTTTAGTATGATTACTGGACAGGCCATACATAACAAAACAAGATACGCGATTTGAAAGCGAGCAAACTCGTTAGCGTTTGGCGCCTCGCAACTCAAAACCATCACAGACGAGGTGACGGACGGCAAATTGTTGCTTAGGGTTAAGGGTTAAGGGTGAACAGAAAACTACATGAGCTATAGACGAAAGTCCTTGAAGGGGGGGTTGTTTAGGGGAGTACGATAGGGGCTCCTAAGTGTGAGACTAGGAGTTTAGTCTATAGGTCACATAACATGATGCCAACTATACACAGTCTCTTTGTGTTTCTTTAATCACCGAAGGACCGGCCCTAGACCCTTTAACCTGAGCAGTGATTCGTTGAGACTAAAACAACGCACGGTGGATACTAGAAATCCTGCTTGACGCGAAGTACCTTACACCCTATGGTACTACAGATTATTAAGGTCATGCAGGATTCTTAGTATCAGCCGTACTTCTAATTTATGCAGAACCGCCTGCGTAGTTGATTTCGGGTAGAACATGACAATCTCTTGCTAAAAGACCACATGGCCCTCCCCCAAAGAAAAATACATAGGAGCTCACTGTTAAACGATCCATATAAAAAGCTCACATAAACCCAGCTTGCAGTTCATTGTCCATTTTCTTGTCCATTTGATTCTGCATTTTCCTGATGCTTCAGGCCCCCAAAACTCTCCCTAAAACCCTAAACCTAAGATCCTAAGCCCCAAATCCTAAACTATATAACCCAAAGAGGCCCTCACGGCCAGTACCTTGCTTTCAATGCAGGCGCTCCCCGCGCAAGCTTCCAGCTGCGGCCTTAGGGGTGAGTACGCTGCACTCACAAACTTGCTGTTATGATCAGTATTCTCCTTGGGACTTAGCTTGGACCTTAGGCCGTTAACCCTTTAGGATTCCCTTATATTCCTGTTATAGGTACCTAAGGGTTAACCCTTAGTAGGGGTCCTAAGTGCCACGTAGTATTGTCATTACGATTACTTTTTTACATTGTTCACGGCTATTTCAGTCATTACTACTGATTTAGGGTAACTTGCTACTAATATCATTATTGTTGTTACTATTAGTATTATATCTATTATCACTATTATCTAAAACAATTACTGCGATTATCATTACTATTATTACCGTTATTTTTTATTTCTTACTATTATGTATTTCTATTATCTCTACTTTACAGACCGTTTAGGGCGTGAGGGTTGCTTGCTCAGGGTCTTGGTTTTGAGCGTTTCCAGGAGTTCGGAAAATTACAAACTGCTGTCTCAAGCATTTCTTGAGGCGAGAAGTTTTCTTGGCCCGCAGTCACTGCAAGATGCTACACAAACGAACCCACGCAGTTGGAATCATGATTTCAACGGTGCACATACTTCCCGAACATCATGCCTCCCAAGCGCTTGCTTTTGATTTCAGACTTCATCTCAGCTTCATGCGTTGGCTCCAAACTGAGGCTTAAGAAGATGACAGTGGAACCGCTGATGGCTGCTTTGCAGGCGCTCGCAGATGTGCAGCTTAGATCGACCCTTTTTCAAGCCATGTTGTATGTGTAATATGAGAACTGCCAACACAGCAAGGACTGCTCAAATTTTGTTGAAAGCTCATTATGCGGTGAATGTGAGAGATACTCACACAGTCTTAGACGGAGGGGTAGCCAGTATGGGGGTCTGGGCATCCCGGAAGATTCCCGCCAAGTTGGTCTACTCATGTGAGTGCAGCTTTGACGGAAGCCGTAAATGAATCAGGCCTTGTGGTTGAGTCATGCCTTCTTATACCCTGGAACAACACGGAGGCCAATACTTTCCATGAGCCTAGGCGTCTTACTACTGTATGGTCTTAAGGAAGGTTCTTTGCGCCCTCTGGGTCTTTTCTGCACAGGAGCTGCTGCCGAAGGGCTGGAACGTGAAGTCGCCGGAAGTGTCGGTCTCCGAATGGGAAGGCGCGTTACCGGGCGGCTTTTCCCGGTTGGGGTCCTGATTTCAAGTCAACCATCCTCTTAGTCTCAGTACTCTTAGTTGGGGTTACAGGGTCCCTAATAATTAGAGGGTATGTACTTAGCCCTGACTAGAGGTAGTTGGAGGTCTAGGCTTAGAGCTTACCATTCTGCAATAGGTCTGGCAGACAGGAGACCCCCAGTTCTAACCATGTTAAAGTGTGAACTGAAGGGTACTTGGAGGGTCAGGGGGACTTAGTAGCTAGGTTAATAACCCCTATAACCCACATAGTAACCTTAGTTGTCCCCTTTATTAAGCTACTTACTAAGTCCCCCTGACCCTCCAAGTAGGCTGCTATTTCTGGAAAAGCTGTGGTCCGCCACATGCTTCAGAATAGAGGAACACTCATTCACTGGGACCCAACAGGGGTCCACGGTTGTTTTCAAAGCAAGGAATGCCAAAGCCAGCCGCGTGCTTCTGCCGCCAGTAAGCCCTGTGATGTTATTGTTGCTGTCTACAGCCCATGCAGGAGTTTCTCAGCATCGAAGTGTCGCTTGAGGGGATGCTTGTAACAATCCGCAGTCATCACCTCCCCGTATTCATGCCCCCTCCCCCCCACGCACGTCTGATACCATTTTTTTGAAGGGGGGGTCATGGGGGGCTGGGGACGGTGATTACTTGGGCCGGTCTATTATCGCATGTCCATGAAGTGAGGCGCTGGAAGATTGAATGGGTCCCATGCTCCTGCCAGATTCCAGAGCAAAGCCCGGGAGAATATGAGCAATAGCCAAAGCTCCCCAAAGGGGGTCACACAGGGGACCACTATAGGGGATATTTTTGGGAATGCTAGGAGTTGAGACTATAGTTCATGTGGGACTAGACATGGATGGGGACCCGCAATGTAGCCCTTGACCTCAAATAGAGCAGTCCTTGCGATACAGAAACCGAAAAAGGGACCCACGACTTGAGAAGTTCGCTTGGTTGGTCAGGGGAGCTTAGCAGGTAGATGAACGGGGAGAATATGGGTTATGGGTTTGTTAAAAAGCTTATAGGAGTTGTAAGTATACTTAGTAAGTCCCCCCGACCCTTCGAAGCAGTCGATCATCTCTATTATCTCCTCAACAATCTGTTGACGTCCTGTTTGGCCTTACACAGTCCCTACAGCCAAAAAGACCCTTAACTTGGAAACCCTGAACCTTACAAATCATTATCCCTATAGTGTGCCTCTATGTATCGAAATAACCCTGCCATCCCCGTGAAGGGGGCTCCTTATTTTTCCCCACCATTTTTCAGAAACGCACCATGTCCGGTTGTCACAGGATGGGTGGAGGCATGGTTACGGACGCTGCTGCTCGGCCGCAGACTTTTGGCAGTAGCTTTGGCGCTAGAGGCCATGTAATACTTACTGGACAAGAACAGAAATCGTTGGTTGTGCAAATTAATCGCGTCCTCGTTTGCCTTGACTACAGTATTCGGGGGCATATGGCGGAGGATGACTCTCTAGAAATGCTCAAATGTCGCCATCGTCATAACTCAAAAACTTCACCACCGCCCCCGTCGCCGTCGCCGCCGCGGCGTGCGCCATACCCAGCAGGAGTACCACTGCCATCACCGCCGCCACCGCCACCATCAACACCACCATCACCATGGCCATTACCGTCACCATCACCAAGGCGATCCTCATACAATTTCTCCCGGTTGTCAACCCTCTCTCGAGGATTCGTATTCCTAGCCCGATGGATGCAAAAAGGCCGCAGTACACACCATAAGTAGAATTGAGGGCCCGACGTTGGCATCATTTGTAGACTTGGATCCCCTTTGTATTGTTCTGCTCCATGACTGTAGGGAAGTGTACACAGGAACTACAGAGTTGTTACAACGCTTCAGAGATGGAGAGTGGCCGCTTCGTGAGGCTCATTGGCCTGTCATAGGCTGCAACATGATTTCCGCAAGTGCCCTAGCCCCATGAGACCACCAGCTTTCCTAGGCAGGGCGGGCCAAGGAGAAGGTTGGCTTTTGGCCTCAATACAACATGAGATGCATCTTATCCTACTTCAGCGTACAAAATCATTAGCTGAAGCCATGCGTCTGAACAGTCTTCTGGGCCTGGGTGGTCTGGGCCGCAAGAGCGAGAAGCCCGCTGAGTCGAAGCGCCACAAGCGCCTTGATGTGCTTGAATCTCTGGGCGTCGGTCAGAGCGCCACCGGGCAAAAGCCAACAACAAGATCCTCTGCCAGGGACGCTGTCCAGTCTTTGAGCGGATCAAGCTCGGACAAGGAAGAGCTAAGGAAATGGCTGGCTGGGGAGGATACCGCTTCTTCTGCTGCCGCTGATGTTCCTGCACCCTCACCGGCTGAGGACGCACAGGCAGACGCACCGGCAGAAGCTCAAGATGCCGCAGCATCTGATGCAGTGCCAGAAAACTTGCCACATGCTACAGCAGCAGAGCCGCAATCTGCTACGGTGGAGATGGATACTAAGGCTGTGCCAAGGCCTCTCATCAACTGGCGGGAGGCTTTCACAAAGGCAAAAGACCAGTGGGCAGTGGCAGAGGGAGGTGCCCGCTGTTTCTACCACCTTTCGGACAAAGGCCTCTTCTTCGAGTGGGACCAGCAAGCGGGGCTCTTGTTCCAGTACTTCTTCGGCAATGGGGAGGAGAGGAGCGTGCCGGTTGGCGATGACGAGTTGCCGGAGCGGGGTCCCATTTGGTCCAGCGAGTGTCCGGACACACACTCGGAGGTTTGGGAGGTGTTGCCTCTGCCGCCCACGGATCCGTCTGCTAAGGTGACAGACGCCATAGTTCAAGAAGATCTCCAGACCCTCCAGACTCCATCAGCAGCAGGAGGAGAAAGTCCGAAGGAGGCGGAAGAAGCTGCGCCCCCGCCCTCCAAGAAGAGGAAGAAGCCGCTGCCCCCCGTCCCTGTGATGGCGCCCGCATCCACAGCAGATGGGGACGATGATGACGATGACCTCCGGTTACCAGGGGATGCGGAGCCCATACCTGCGGTCCTTGGCTGTGAAGGTCCTCCAGCTCAAAGCTCCTCATCATCTACACCTCAGCAACTGAGTTGCTGTTAAGGAATGTAATTTAGCTTACTATATTGGGGAAACCCTATTATCTACTATATATGTATATATATATATACATACCCATTATGGTAACTTAATTTAAGTGCCTTAACAGCAACGCAGGCAATCCACTGAGCCCGAGGACGAGGAGGTTGACATTGCTGGCTCTTTCGTGCTGGACGAGGATGCTGGGCTCTTGTACAACACAATTTTACATTTTATGGATACCTGGGCCCAATGTCAATAAACATAGATCTTTTTTAATTGTATTTCAACAAGAACCCAGGATGAGGAGGCCGCTGACTTGGCCTCTGAAGACTGCGCCCTTCCTGCTGCACCAGCAGACAAAGCCGAACCTTCGGCAGCCGATCTAGAGTTGGATATGTTCGCCGACCTCTGAGAAGCTTGCTGATAGGCTCTTCGGGATACAAGAAGCTACCTGGTTCTGTAATGCGGGCAAGTGAAAAAAGAAGATCACGGCTGGTGGTCATTGTTGTGCCGTTTGTGGCCATTAGTGTCAAGGGGGTGTCCAACAATTTGGGGCCCCAATGATCTCAACATATGGTAACTTTGAAGACGGGCTCCCGAAAAGAGGCTCCTAATCTTTGGAGACCACCTCATTGTCACTGTCGTTGCTTTTGTTGCCAGCCCTTGGCGTACTGCCGCATGCTGTTCCTGTCACCACTTGCATTCCAACAAATAGACGAGGGTAAATCCAAACGGGGTGTGTTACTCATGCACCCCACATGCCATCATCCTCGCTCTGAGGGCCAAGGGAATTCACCGGATCTTTACGGCGATGTCTGTCTGAGTTCACTTTGAATCATCAAGGTGGATGAATATATTCCTAGGCCAGGGATAGTTGAATCTAATGAATGCTAATAGAAGGGGAATCTAGGGGGAGAGCATAGCGGGGGTGGCTTGAATCTATCTTCCAAAGCCACTGCCCACCCTCAACACATGGGCTCCCCTACGTCTATATCGCTCCCACTTAATTGAGCTTACCTAGGCTGGCAGTATGTGACTGGTGATTGCGTGGAAGTGGGGAGGGAATGAAGGTATAAGGGGGGGGGTGGGTACCTAGGCCCTCCAACTACCCTCTATTCAGGCCTACGTACCCTCTATTAGGGACTATATTTTCCCGATTCAAGGCACTAAGAGGATCCTGGTAGATGGGGAGTATGCAGGGATGATTTCCCAATTAAGCACCTGTAAGGTGTTGAACTTGAGGGGTCTATGATATGGGCCCTTTCCTTGCTAGTTGTCTACGTAGGGAATAAGTCATGTAGGGATACCACCCCAAGAAAAGAGAATCAAACGGACAGGAAAGTGGAAATCTCATGGAAACCTGGCCTTGATAGGGGGGGTTTAGGGTTTAGGGTTTAGGGTTGTTTTATTGGGGATAAGAAGAGGCTACTGCAGGGATCGATTCCTCCTTTCCCTGACACCCTCCGTAAACGAGGAAGACACATCAGTTTGCTGTTGAATGTTGAATGTGACCGTGACCCATTTACAGACTTGCCTTTCCATCACAAGTGGCCCTGTGCAGCAGCGTATAATTGCTACAAGCTAGCCGCTAGCCCCCCCCCCCTTCCCCCCCAAAAA